TGGATGCGTAGTGATCCGCCTGTTTACAGCCTCCCAAGAGCTGGGATTATAGGCACGGGATACCACGCCCAGTCTCAATTGCTGTCTCAGCATGCCCTAGGGATGGGGCCTGCATTGCAGACCAGGGGATTGAACCCCTGGCCCCTGCGCCTGCTTGCAGGTGCTTTAATCCACTGAGTTATTTAGCCAGCTCACACTTTTTTTTTTCTTTTTCCCACACTCTTTCAAGGGCTTTAATTTATGACTTTCTGGTCATATGATTTTGCTGTCTCCATATCAGTACGCACAGACAGCTGGTGTAGTGATGAACTCAGAGGCCCTGACATCTAGGAAAGTGAGCGCTAGTAGCTCTTCCAAAGCCCTCTGAAGGCATAGCAGTGATCATGTTTCTGAGTATCATATTTGAAAAAAAAAAAAAAAAAAAAAAGAACAGACACGAGGATCTGTGGAACAGATTAGAAGACATAAAAAAAAAAAAAAAAAAAAAAAGGAGAGATTTCTATGAGAGACTTTACCTGTGCTCTCGAGAAATGGTCAGAGGGAAGTCATCTGGCAGGTCTGTTAAGCAGTAGGGACAGTGCATCTGCCCATCGGTCAGCCAGGACCGGAGGCAGGTCAGGCAGTACACATGGTCACAAGGCAGGCAGACAGGGTCATGTGTATCTCCCAGGCAGATGGGGCATGGGCAAATACCAAACCTGGAACAGGGAAGGCAATCAGTCTGGAGGCAGAGAGGCTGGCCAGGAACGACACCCCCAGAGGCACAGTGCTGTAGCCTCCAGGGCCGCAGGCCACGGATCTCACCTGGAAAAGATATTGCCGGCTTCGTTTTTGCATTCACGAAGAATGGCCATTACAGCTACAAAAGGCCTGAGCATCTTGAGGTCCGAGTTCTCCTGAAGACTCTGAAGAGAAAGGCAGTGATGAGGAGGTGTGAAAGGCAGGGCAGAGTGGAAGCAGAAGGGCAGCCGGGCAAGGAGTGCATCCCAGCAGCAGAGGAACAGGGCGGAAAGTGCAGGGTTTGAAAGCCTGGCCTTGAACTGGTAATCCTCCTGCCTCAGCCTTCCAAGTGCTGAGGTTACAGGCATATGCCACCATGTCCGGCTAATATTCCACACTTTATAAAAATGCTACTTGTGACTTCTGACTTTTTTCTCTACTTTTCTTCTTAGATCCACCCCATCTTCATTATGAGATACTTCAAATTACGTAAAAATTTATTATGTAATAATAAAATATAACCATCTGTAAATGAACAACAACTTTAAGAATCTTTAGATTTTTTTTTTTTTTTTTTTTTTTTTTCGGAACCAGGGATTGAACTCAGGCCCTTGCGCTTGCCAGGGAAGCGTTTATTCCACTGAGCCATCTCCCTGGCCCCTAACTTTAAGAATCTTAATTTCAGCAATTCTGAAAAACAAAGAAAGAGAAAAAAAAAAAAAAGATGATTTTTTTTTTTTCCCCCAGGATATATCTAGAAATTGAAACGCTGGTTGGTCGGACATACCCATCCTCAACAATAGAAGCTTAATGGTGTTTCTGTAGGTTGTGGTTAGGCATGATGTTTCTATAGATGTTTCATCGTAAGTATTCCATTGTGTATAATAAGATTAAGGAAAAAGAGTTCCAGATTCCTAGTTTGTCAATAAAATTTTTTCCACAGCATTCATTTTATTCAATGGTTTCTCTCATTTTGAAATGACTGTTTATAGAATTTGTTTTAAATTACATGTCTGTTAACACTTATAGATTTAAATATTTCAAGCCTTCCTTGAATTCCCAGGATAAATCATATTTAGAACTCATGTGTGGCCTTAATACCTGGTTATATTTCATTTGTTCATCATTAACCCAATTCAAACAATAGGCAGAGGGTTTAGTAAGATATCGCTCCAAAGACAAGATATAAATGCTCCAAAAATACTTTGGAAAGACATTCTACAGGTCCCACCAAAGTTTCATGTGCTCCTAGGTGGAGTTTGGATATGACTGAATTGAGGGTGCATGATGCTAGAATTACGGGTGTGTGATGCTAAATTAGTTCACTGACTGGAATTAGCATATGTCCAGGTGTGACCAAAATGATTACTGAAGACAGAGCCCCCACTCCCCCCCAGCATGGGTGGCTTGGATGGAATACACAAGGATTTAAGGAAGGCGGGCTTACTTTCTGCCTGCCCTGCCATGGACTGTTTGTCCTCTGGGAGGCCCTGCTGCCATGCTACTTTGTCTTGGAGCCTCCTGACCACAGACTGAAACCTCTACAAAGTATAAGCCAAAATAAACCTTTTCTCCTTTAGTTTTGTGTGTTTGGTATTTTTGCCTCAACAATGAGAAAAGTTAAAACTTTAAAATTAAAACAAAAACAAGAAAAGTTATTAAGACTCTATGTATCCTCAGTCATTATGGAAATGCAAACCAAAAGCATGGTGAAATACTGTTTCACCCCCGTTAGGATGGCTACTGAAAAATGGAAATAACAAGTATTGGCCAAGATGTAAGGCACCTGGACCCTTGTGCACTGCTGGTAGAAATTATAATGGAATTGCTTATGGTAGTGCATGCCTAGATTCCCAGCTATTTAGAAGGCTGAGGCAGGAAGACTGTCGACTTTGAGGGTATCCTCTGCAATTTAGTGAAATCTCATCTCAAAAAATGAAAAGGACCAAGTATGCAATTCAAGAAAAGGACCTGGGGTCAAACTCCAATGTGGCAGCAGGGGCAGAGTTGGGGAGAAGGAGATAGTAATATTAACATAGAAAACAGTGAAATGGGCCCCCAAAGTTAAACACAGAATTATTATAAGATGGAGCAACCTAACTATCCTTCAACAGAGGAATGGATAACAAAGTGTGGGCCATCCATATGATATAATATTATTCAATTCTAAGAAGGAAGGAAACTCTTCACACCTGCTACTGCATGGACAAACCTTGAAAACATGCTGCTAAGTGAAATAAGTCAGACATAAGAAAAATACATTACAGGGGCCTGGTGATTGGGTGGTGGACTGCAAGGACATGGGTGTGACAGACAGGTGCTGGTGTTCTGTGGCAAAATCAACTGTTGTGTGTGACACCCAGGAAGGCAGTCCACACACCAGAGAATCCATCTCTATCATCTCTCCCTACATACCCATCCTCAAACTTGTGATCTACTTAGGTCATGGGTGAGGTCATAGGTGAATAAGGCAGAGTGTGGCATTGCTGGCAGACATCTCAGTCACTGAGACGGTGGTGTGGTAGGGCTCCTCCCTAAAGAATGTGGGAAAGCCTCCCTCCTGCTTTAGGGAATGTGAACCTTCCAAACACGTAGACCTTCAAGGAATATGGACCTTCTCAGAGTACACAAAGTCAACATGGCACAATTAGCTCATATGAGTTCATGCATAGTTCTAGCACAGCTATGTAACAGAGGTTGTACCCAAACCAGTTATAGTTTGTTAGTGCATTACCATAGAAAGAGGACAAAGACCCAAGGAGTCTATAAAGGGCAAGGCTTTACCATGCTGGACACTTAGCCCTTGGATACGAATCTGCTGGGGCCATTTCCATTACTTCCTGGAAAAAGCCATGGTGTCCCATTTCTCTGTGTGAATATCCCACAACAGTAGCTTTGCTCACCTTTGGCTTTATTAAAGTTGCCTGAAGGCAGAGGCATAGTGACTTCCTGCTCCATTGGTTCCACTAAAAGCCCTGTATCACGAAGGCCCCAGTTCTAGTGTCATCTCTTGCATCGAGGTCATCCTCACCATGGAACTGGAGATTGCTAGGCTGCTGGTCTGTTTTGGGGTCACCTAGAGCCTATTCCTGCACCCCTCCTCAAGCACCCTATTATCATTTCTATTCCTGTACTGGGGCCCTAAGGATATACCTTGACATATCAAAGAGGAAGGTTAATAAACAAAAATGGAGTGGCCAGTTATTGAAATCACTTTTCTTTCACCCAGCACTTGGGTATCGGGGCCAGAGGACAAAGCAAGGCCAGTTACCTGTCACGGTGCCTTGGCAACGCTGCATCCTGCCAGACACAGACTCACACCCATGGCCGAGGCCAGCACCAGCACTCACCTTGTCCAGCAAGAAGACATACTTGGTGACCAGCTGGCTCAGTGAAGGCACCTTGTTCTTAGTCCCTAGCAGCACGTGCTCCACAAAAAGTGAAATAGAGAAGATGCGACGCCAATGGGCTCTGTCAAAAGAGGAAAGTCACTTGCTTGGCTGGCAAGGGAGCCCAGGACATGAGGAGCAGAGGGAAGGAGACAGCAGGTCCAGGAGGATAAGAAGACAAGATCAGGAAGAGAGGATCATTGGCCTGGGTATGCACTGGCCCTCCCACATGCAGCTCATGCAAAGATCAGTGTCCCATGTTCAATACCACAGTGGCCTGCTGACCAGTCCTGTGCTTAGTAAGTCCCTCCTTGCCATAAAGTCCAGCCTGATGGGCTGCCCCCTCTTCACTTATCCTCTTGTCTCTGCTGCCTTTTCTAACTGCTCTGTAAAGTGCTGGCTGACTTTCCCTGACCACCAGTACACAGCAGCCGTGCTCTTGCAGCTTTTCCTCCATGTCTAATGAGAGGCTAGGCACTTCTCAGGGTCCAGTGCATGCAAAACGGGGTGTGAAGGGAGAATCCTGCCTGTGGCAGGTATGCCTACCCACTCTGGTCTGGATGTGCCAGGGCATGGGAGCTACAGGTAGGCACAGGCTTGAGAGGATGAGTCCCAGGTTCTCACCTGACCTCCCTGATGAGAGTTCTGGTCATGTTTCCACTGCCTTGCAGGTACCCATCAGAGCAGATGAGCTCCAGGGGTGTGGACAGGTTCTTTACCAGCTGCAGCCAGGCCTGGGGAGTAGGCTTCAGGGTGTCTTCTGTCAGCTTCTCCACACAGGCCATTGCTGCAAATGCATCCAGTGTCTGGAAAGAAAACAGCCCTGTGGGATGGCAGAGGCCCCGCGCTGCCCATTATTTAACTGTTGGATCCTCAGGCCAGAGCCCTGTAGTAAGCGCAGTGTGTTCTCATGTTCAAGGCCTAGAAACTATCCTGTGGCTTCTCAGGGTGCAGGAAGTCTTAGTCAGATGTGTTTAAAACAACTGAGAGCTATGTGACCCACACACCACTATGTCTCCCATCTGGGATGCAGTTCCATGGGTCCTCTGATCCCAGAATACAGGCCAATCACCCAACACTCCTTGGCACAAGGGGGCCCATACCATCTCACAGCCAGCCAGATCGTGCTTTGGTGGATCTTCAGTGA